CATCCTGGAGAAGAGTGACTAGTGGGGTGCCACAGGGTTCTGTCTTGGGCCCGGTCTTATTCAACATCTTTCATCAACGACTTGGATGATGGACTCAAGGGCATCCTGATCAAATTTGCAGATGACACCAAATTGGGAGGGTGGCTAACACCCCAGAGGACAGGATCACACTTCAAAACGACCTTGACAGATTAGAGAACTGGGCCAAAACAAACAAGATGAATTTTAACAGGGAGAAATGTAAATATGCATGGGCAAAAAAATGAGAGGCACAAATACAAGATGGGTGACACCTGGCTTGAGAGCAGTACATGTGAAAAGGATCTAGGAGTCTTGGTTGACCACAAACTTGACATGAGCCAACAGTGTGACGCGGCAGCTAAAAAGCCAATGCAATTCTGGGCTGCATCAATAGGAGTATAGCATCTAGATCAAGGGAAGTAATAGTGCCACTGTATTCTGCTCTGGTCAGACCTCACCTGGAGTACTGTGTCCAGTTCTGGGCACCACAGTTCAAGAAGGACACTGACAAACTGGAACGTGTCCAGAGGAGGGCAACCAAAATGGTCAAAGGCCTGGAAACAATGCCTTATGAGGAACGGCTAAGGGAGCTGGGCATGTTTAGCCTGGAGAAGAGGAGGTTAAGGGGTGATATGATAACCATGTTCAAATATATAAAAGGATGTCACATAGAGGAGGGAGAAAGGTTGTTTTCTGCTGCTCCAGAGAAGTGGACACGGAGCAATGGATCCAAACTACAAGAAAGAAGATTCCACCTAAACATTAGAAAGAATTTCCTGACAGTAAGAGCTGTTCAACAGTGGAATTTGCTGCCAAGGAGTGTGGTGGAGTCTCCTTCTTTGGAGGTCTTTAAGCAAAGGCTTGACAACCATATGTCAGGAGTGCTCTGATGGTGTTTCCTGCTTGGCAGGGGGTTGGACTCGATGGCCCTTGTGGTCTCTTCCAACTCTATGATTCTATGATTCTATGATTCTATGTATTTTAATATTTTGCTGGAAGCCGCCCAGATGGGTGGGGAATACATAAAAATTTATTTTTATTATTATTATTATTATTATTATTATTATTATTATTATTTATTTCCATTCAGCAACTACCTCTCACCCATTTGAGTCCATGTTATGAGAAGACAGATAAGTTTTCATTTTTTCTCTCTCTCTTAAAAACAAAAACAAATCTTCCCTTGCCAAGTGCAGAGAACATCAAAATGTCAAGTGCAACTTAGCTTTCAAATTCCCTTCGAAGTCCTTCATTAAATCCTAAAGCCGTTAACAAGGGGTCTAGCTGCTCCCCCTACCTATCGCTGATACATAATTGAGAAGCTGCTTTTAAAAAAATAACTGAAAAGTTGAAAAAATAAACCAACATTATTAAGCTGCATTTATTTCTGGAGTGGTGTTGAAAAAAGAAGAAGAAGCCTGAAGCATTTATCTGCGTTATGTGCTTGACGTTTTCGCTTCTAATCAGAATCCTTTCAGTCACCTGAGCCACCATTCCCTTTCCTAGCTCTCTCTCTCCCTCTCTCTTTTCTGGCTCTCTGGTGAAAAACATGAACAGAGCCTGCTGGATCAGACCAATGGCCCATCAATCTGACATCCTGCCCCCGCATTTCTATGCAAAATTTAATTGTTGTTTAGTCGTTTAGTCGTGTCCAACTCTTTGTGACCCCATGGACCGGAGCATGCCAGGCACTGCTGTCTTCCACTGCCTCCTGCAGTTTGGTCAAACTCATGCTGGTAGCTTTGAGAACACTGTCCAACCATCTCATCCTCTGTTGTCCCCTTCTCCTTGTGCCCTCCATCATTCCCAACATCAGGGTCTTTTCCAGGGAGTCTTCTCTTCTCATGAGGTGGCCAAAGTATTGGAGCCTCAGCTTCAGAATCTGTCCTTCCAGGGAGCACTCAGGGCTGATTTCCTTCAGAATGGAGAGGTTTGATCTTCTTGCAGTCCATGGGACTGAAAAATTTAATAGAATCACATAATCATATAATCGGGGAGTTGGAAAGTACCTGAGGGCCATCTCGTCCAACCCTCTGCAATGCACCCATGACAGGTGGCCATCCAACCTCTGCTTTAAAACCTCCAAGGAAGAAGAAGAGGAGGAGGAGGAGGAGGAGGAGGAGGAGGAGGAGGAGGAGGAGGAGGAGAAGTCTGGATTTGATATCCCCTTTTATCACTACCCTAAGGAGTCTCAAAGTGGCTCACAATCTCCTTTTCCCTTCCTCCCCCACAACAAACACTGTGAGATGAGTGGGGCTGAGAGACTTCAGAGAAGTGTGACTAGCCCAAGGTCACCCAGCAGCTGCATGTGGAGGAGCGGAGACTCAAACCCGGCTCACCAGATTATGAGTCCACCACTCTTAACTACTACACCACACTGGCTCTCACAACCTCCTGAGGGAGTCTGTTCCGCTGTCAAACAGCACCTCCTGTCAGAAAGCTCTGCTGAAGTTTCAGCTGGATTCTCCTTTCTTGTAATTTGAGGCCATTGATTTGGTTCCTACCCTCAGGAGCAGTAGAAAAGAAGCTTGCTCCATCTTCCCTTTAGATTTTTTATGATGGCTATCATAGCACCTCTCAGTCTTCTCCAGGCTAAGCGCACCCAACTCCCTCAAATGTTTCCCTTATATCCATTCTCTATCAACTTAGGAGGTGAGAAACAGCATCAGAAAATTATGGAATGGGAGAGGCTGAACGATGGCGGTGAAGAAACTCCTTCAGGTATACTGGACCGAGGCCATTTAGGGCTTTAAAGGTCAGCACCAACACTTTGAATTGTGCTCGGAAACGTACTGGGAGCCAATGCAGATCTTTCAGGACCGGTGTTATATGGTCTTGGCGGCCGCTCCCAGTCACCAGTCTAGCTGCTGCATTCTGGATTAATTGCAGTTTCCGGGTCACCTTCAAAGATAGCCCCACGTAGAGAGCATTGCAGCATTGCAGTAGTCCAAGCGAGAGATAACTAGAGCATGCACCACTCTGGCAAGACAGTCTGCGGGCAGGTAGGGTCTCAGATTATTGGGTTGTCTTTGTTTTTATTATGTGATATATATATATATATATATATATATATATATATATATATATATATATATATATACACACACACATAGTGAATTTGTTCTGAACTACCCTGAGATCTTACGAGTATAGCACGGCATGCAAATTTAAATCATCACCATCATCAGACTTTTAGACTGAGCCCAATTTATGTCCTCCCAGATCACCGTGGCCATGCTATATTCTATACACAGGGGGTAGATCATTCAAATCCATCAGAAATAAACTAACTTCAGAGCTGATTCCTGCATTTTATCCACACGAAGGACAGAAAGTCAAACTTTTTTTCGCACTTGAAAGTACTAAACTTGAACCAGCCAAAAGGCAAAGTCTCTGTATCAACATCGGTACTTGCGACGATATAAACAACTTTGTTTTCCTCTCCTATTTTGCAAGCCAAGTAGAAAGACCGTGTAATCAGCTGTAATTATTGCTTTTGAAAATATGAGCTTTACATTCTGCGAAATCCTTTTTTTTATATAAAAAAAAATATATAAATACAGGAAGCTTCTCAAAATACATTTACTCAATTCAACAAAGAAGGGGAAAATATCAAACTAAGTTAGGACACTCAAGTGTTATTTGCAGCAATCACGATAAAGTCAATTTTGGCGTAAATCATGATTGTCATAAACACTCACAAAACATATTATTTACCAGATGGCAATTTCACTCAAGCAAACACATCAAACTTATGTTTCATTATTGTCAAATAAAGATGAACTTGCCACTGGGATAACCTCCAGTACTTAAACAAACACTTCTCTGAGCACAATGGATGACGCGGCTTGTTATTTGGGAAGCAAAGAGCTCCAAATAAATTCTCATGACAACAGCAGTCCTGAGTTGTGAGTAGAGAGGAGAGGCAGCAGACCATGGGCTGTTCTTCTTTCAGCAGTATAAAGCTTCTGGCCCAAGGAAATAACTCAGGTTTGGGTCAGCAGAATAAAGTCAGAACCCTGGACAGCTCCGTACCTGGCTCAGACTTGAGTTTCCATGTAGGAGAACTGAAAATAATGTGAATATATTTCACATCTGGCAACCAATGCACACTTTGGATTTCAGACAGTACATGTGTAAAGGTAAAGGGACCCCTGACCATCAGGTCCAGTCGTGGCCGACTCTGGGGTTGCGGCGCTCATCTCGCTTTATTGGCCGAGGGAGCCGACAGACAGCTTCCGGGTCATGTGGCCAGCATGACTAAACCGCATCTGGCGAACCAGAGCAGCACACAGAAATGCTGTTTACCTTCCCACTGGAGTGGTACCTACTTATCTACTTGTACTTTGACGTCCTTTCGAACTGCTAGGTTGGCAGGAGCAGGGACTGAGCAACAGGAGCTCACTCTGTCGCAGGGTTTTGAACCGCCAACCTTCTCATTGGCAAGTCCTAGGCTCTGTGGTTTAACCCACAGTGCCACCCGCGTCCCCCCAAGGTAGGGTAAAGGTAAAGGGGACCCCTGACCATTAGGTCCAATCGTGGCCGACTCTGGGGTCGCGGCGCTCATCTCGTTTTACTGGCCGAGGGAGCCGGCATACAGCTTCTGGGTCATGTGGCCAGCATGACTAAGCCGCTTCTGGAGAACCAAAGCAGTGCACAGAAATGCCGTTTACCTTCCCGCCAGAGTGGTACCTATTTATCTACTTGCACTTTGACGTGCTTTCGAACTGCTAGGTTGGCAGGAGCAGGGACCGAGCAACGGGAGCTCACCCCATCACGGGGATTCGATCTGCCAACCTTCTGATTGGCAAGTCCTAGGCTCAGTGGTTTAACCCACAGTGCCACCTGCATCCCCTAGTACACGGGACTAAAAAGCCAGGCACACAAATTTTCACTGCCCTCCAGCATCTATGGTGGCTCATTTACCAGAAGTAATGTATGTAGTGTTAACCCTGTATACTTGATTCTGACCAAACTAAGCCTCCTAGAGCAAAATAGACATCAGGAGGCTTAGAACATTAGACTCTTAATCTCAGGGTTGTGGGTTCAAGCCCCACGTTGGGCAAAATCTTTCTGCATTTCAGGGGGTTGGATTAAATGACCCTCGTGGTCCCTTACAACTCCATGGTTCTAAGTAGCCATTTAGATTTCCCACAGTTGCTCCCAAGATAGCACCACTTTGGGACATTCTGGGACATTTAATTGGCAGCTAGGCTCAGCTGCCCAGCAGTGCTAAGAGAGCCAGGATGGGGAATTGTTTTTTGGTAGGAGGACGCAAGGAGCGTCTCCACCCCCATCGTTCTTCCCGGACACTGAGATTCAGCTCCGAGGGCCTTCTGGTGATTCCCTCATTGCGAGAAGTGAAGCTACAGGGAATCAGGCAGAGGGCCTTCTTGGTAGTGGCACCCGCCCTGTGGAACACCCTCCCATAAGACATCAAGGAAATAAACAACTATCTGACTTTTAGAAGACATCTGAAGGCAGCCCTGCTTAGGGAAGCTTTTAATGTTTGATGTTTTGTTGCTTTTTTATTATTAATAATAATATTCTGTTGGGAGCTGCCCAGAGTGGCTGGGGAAACCCAGCCAGATGGGTGGGGTATGTATAAATAAATAAAATAAAATAAAATAAAATAAATAATATTTATACCCTGGCCAGAGCCGAGATCAGGGCGGCTAACACCAATAAAATTACAATAAAACATAATAGGGGGAACAAACAAAAAACCAAAACCAGTTTATTAAAATACGGGTTAAAATACAATTGAAAATGCAGCCTCATTTTAATAGTAGCCCATAAATCAAATCCATAAGGGGAGGGAAACATAAGGGTCAGACTGAGTCCAAACCAAAGGCCAGGCGGAACAGCTCTGTCTTGCAGGCCCTGCGGAAAGATGTCAAGTCCCGCAGAGCCCTGGTCTCTTGTGATAGAGTGTTCCACCAAGTCGGGGCCAGTACTGCAAAGGCCCTGGCCCTAGTTGAGACCAATCTAACCACCTTGCAACCTGGGACCTCCAAAGTGTTGTTATTTTTGGACCTTAAGGTCCTCCCCGGGGCATACCAGGAGAGGTCGTCCCATAGGCACGAGGGTTCTAAATTATTATTATTATTATTATTATTATTATTATTATTATTATATGCATTGGCCACTACCCAAGGATGCTGATCGTTGGGGCTGCCCCATAGGCATCCTTGGGATAGATTGACCATTAGCCGAATTCAAAGGGAAGCAGTTTCATATACCACAAGCTAGCTTGCTTTCTTTCTTTAAAAAAAGGCCAAATGATGATTTGGTTTTGTATATTCTGAATAACATGAAATCCATTACCTGAAAGGCTGTGGGGAAATTAGTTTATGTTCTACATTCACAGGATGATCCCTGAGGATGCATTGTGAAAGGAGAGTATCAACCATGATTGATGGGGAATGGTACTGCCTCTCCACCTTTCCCCCGCAGCAGAATGAAAGGATGGATTCAGATGATCAGATTTTTCTGGGAATGCTTTGCATATCTGAGAAGGTGATGATTGTCAGCAGCACCAAACTGGAAAAAAATATATATAAATATGGGCATATTTTCCATGGTGGCTCAGGTGTCAGATGCATGGGGATTTTAAAAGAAAAGGGAATGGTGACTTGCTATGTAATTAAGCCCATTTCACAGAATAGGGAAAGATGTGCAAATAGCCTCATCTATGCTTTTGCAATGGAAATCTTACTCAATTAATCCACTCCTCCCTTCTTGCCTGGAACATTTTGTTTAAAGAAGAAGAAGTACAGATTCACCTTGCTTCCCTCTCTCTCTCTCTCTCTCTCTTTCTCTCTCTCTCTCTCTCTCTCTCTCATGTTTGTGTCTTTGTATATAAAATATTATCTGCTTACTTCCTCATCAGAAACAATGAACAATGAACGAAGGTCTCTGCCTTCAGTTGGGGAACTATACAGAACTGTGTTGATTCTCTGTGGTTTTTCATTGGGAGCCATATTTGTTTGCTTGCATGCATGTTTAATAGTAACAACAACAACAACAACAACAACAACAACAATTTATTATTTATACCCCGCCCATCTGGCTGGGCCTCCCCAGCCACTCTGGGCAGCTTCCAACAAAACACTAAAATACAGCAACCTATTAAACATTAAAAGCTTCCCTAAACAGGGCTGCCTTCATAAAATGTATAGCCAACTTGACCATAGAAACCGTAGACCGTAGAAACGTAGACCGTAGAAACAGCAACCTCAAAGTGGTTTACAAAAAGAATAAAACAACGAAATGGTCAATTAAAAAAAACAGTTAAAAGGAATGATTTAAACAGCCAAAAATAATAAAATAAGTGGCAAGCTTTTAAAAAAACCACAAATTAAAATACATGTCAATATCACACATAGCTGGATACGCTTGTCTAAATGAAAAAAATGTTTTTAGCAGGTACCAAAAAGGGTACAGTGATGTCAGCGCATGGGAAGACATTTAGGGTGAAGCTGCATGTGCGCTTTACCTGGGAGTAAGGTCTCATTCAACCCGACGGGGCTGATTACTGAGGGGACAGGAGGCAGGGTTAGTTACTATAAATGAGCTCAGGGGTGTTTTTAAAAGGTGGGGCTTACTTTCTCCAGTGGGCCCTTTCCCCACACAACAACCCTGCGGGGTAGGCCAGAGAGAGACAGAATAGGCTACTGGTCTTCAGCTTGGTGGGTCTGATGCAAGGCATGTCACAACGGATTCCTGCATTGCAAGAGGTTGGACTAGATCATGGGTAGGCAAACTAAGGCCCGGGGGCCGGATCTGGCCCAGTCGCCTTCTAAATCCAGCCCGCAGACGGTCCGGGAATCAGCATGTTTTTACATGAGTAGAATGTGTCCTTTTATTTAAAATGCATCTCTGGGTTATTTGTGGGGGATAGGAATTCATTTCCCCCCCCAAAAAAAATATAGTCCGGCCCCCCAAAAGGTTTGAGGGACAGTGGACAGGCCCCCTGCTGAAAAAGTTTGCTGACCCCTGGACTAGATGACCCCCAGATTCCCTCCCCCCTCTACAATTCTATGATTCAATAGGTAGGAAGTTTCCAAGTTTCCGGGTGCTGCCATTCTGATTTCTGACATATGCAGAGTTATTGGGGGTGGGGGAAAATAACATATGAAATAATTATTTGGAAAATTCTACCTTTGCACAAATACACCCTTGTGGATAAACCTCTTGGTCAGCAAGCACGAGAAAGAAACTTCGAAAAACTTTACACTTCCCTAGGCTTTCCCCAACATGCAATTATTTTTGCTGGTATAGAAGTCCAGTTGAAGAAAGAGAAGCATGCAAGTTGTCCATGAAGTATTACTGGCTCGGATTTTGCTAGGTGTTTGGAGACGCTCCACCTTTGAAGATCTAGCATCTTTTCTCCCGTCTACTTTCCGATATACTTTTGTCTACACAAATGTCAGAGTTGACTGCAGAATAAAGCTATTTAAATGCAAAGGAAATTCAGGCCCTGCAGTCACCAGAAAGCCTCCCATTGATTTTCTCCGAACAGACTCATGCCCTTATTGAGCAATTATGATCTTGCAGTCCAGAGTTGATTAAACTTCCAAAAGAGCTGTTAAATTTCCAAAAAAGAAAGAAAGAAAGAAAGAAAGAAAGAAAGATCCATTCTTAAGTCAAAGGACTGCATTTTGCAGGGATTCCTAAATAACACTACCATCAAGAGAATGCAAATGGAAACCAAGGCTTATTCCCCACCCCACACAAAAAATAAAAAATAAAAAGATTCATCATTAGGATCTCAATATGAATAAATAATAAGTGACATCAGAAATGTATGTTGTTTCTATGAATAAGACCTCTCAGTAATGGGAATGTTGCATTTAGTTACATTGAGAGCGCTAGGCAATTGCAGGAACTAACTCTCAGGTGCCTCCACCGAGTTGTTCACAGGTGGCTGGAGGGGAAGAACAATTTATTTTTTAAAAAAATGTGAGAGGGAACAATGAAACGGGGGGGGGGGGATATGTCAATACATCAAAACATAATTTCCTCTACAAATGGAAGCACATCAAGGCTTTGTTTAATTTGCTTACAAGCCCTACGGTTACAGAAGGGGATGACTGAGAAATTGGAGGCGAGGGTGGCTTTTCCCTGGGTCCTGCTAAACTGATTTCTGGGAGAAAGTAGGGCAGTTAAGGGACAGAGGTTTTGAGCTGGAAAAGGAAGGAAGGAAGGAAGGAAGGAAGGAAGGAAGGAAGGGAAAGGAAAGGAAAGGAAGAAAGGAAGAAAGGAAGAAAGGAAGAAAGAAAGAAAGAAAAGAGAGGATTGTAGAGTTTTAAGGGACCATGAGAGTCATTACAATACTGGAATTTTTTTTTGCCCAACATAGGGTTCTAACCCACGACCCTGAGATTATGAGTCTCAGGCTCTACCGAAGAGAAAGGAAGCCAGGAATCTGGGATAAAGTTCAGGGCAGAAGAAGCAGGAACTTTCCAATAGAGGAAAATACAGTTACAGAGGTTGTGTGCCACCCTCAAATCTCTAACCGAGCAGGGAGTTACATGCACTCATCAAGGCTCATGTTCCTTTTGAGAGATCAAGGCACAGCGCAGACTGGAGTGCTTTAAGAGATTCGGTTTATTTGACACCTGTGCATATTCACACCTGGGTTTCGGTGGAGGAATAGAGTTCACAGCATTGCATCTCAAGAGGGGCTTGACCCCCACAGCAGTGAAGTACTGAATTCCAAGGCGTCCTGCATGTCTTTCTCATGCCTCTGTCCCCCAGCCTGCGCAGATGATCCCACCTCATTCCACAGCCAAGCAGCTCTTACTGTGTGAAAGTTCTTCCTGATGTCTAGCTGGGATTCCCACGCCTGGCTCTGCATTAATATAGCTGTTTCTTTGTTTATTTATAACCCACCTTTTTCCTTGACAGGCTCGAGGCGGCTTAGGGATAATAACAAAAGCTAAAAACATGGGGGTGGTGGAATAATTTTAAAAGCAATTAAAACATTAGTAGAATTAAAACATGCATAACTATTAAAAACATAGAAATATTTACAATGAAAACAACATGGCACAAAATTGTTCATTAAAAGCATCTTCCAAAAAGTCTTTTGGAAGGTCTTCACCTGTTGACTGAAGAACAAGGAGGAGTCAGTCTAGCTACTCTAGGAAGGGAGTTCCAGAATCTGGGAGCAGCCACTGAGAAGGCCCTCTCCGGTGTCCCCACCAAGTCATTGTTAGAATTCCTGCTCCATGATTGCAGTCATGGGATTTTTATCCATCACATGACAGTATATGTTTCGACTCCACAAAGTGGGAAGTGATGGAGACAGGATGTTTGCGTTACTGTATTCCGTGAAGGGACGCGGGTGGCGCTGTGGGTAAAACCTCAGCGCCTAGGGCTTGCCGATCGCATGGTTGGCGGTTCGAATCCCCGCGGCGGGGTGAGCTCCCGTCGTTCAGTCCCAGCTCCTGCCCACCTAGCAGTTCGAAAACACCCCTAAGTGCAGGTAGATAAATAGGTACCGCTTTATAGCGGGAAGGTAAACGGCATTTCCATGTGCTGCGCTAGTGCTGGCTCGCCAGAGCAGCTTCATCACACTGGCCACGTGACCCGGAAGTGTCTCCAGACAGCGCTGGCCCGCGGCCTCTTAAGTGAGATGGGCGCACAACGCTAGAGTCGGACACAACTGGCCAGTTCGGGCAGGGGTACCTTTACCTTTACCTTTATTCCGTGAAGTGGGACTATTGTCCTTTGTTCATTCTCTTTGCTGTCTGATGCTAGAGAGAGAGGGAGCCATGTTGCAGTGCTCCGTGTGTGTTTATATGTAAATAAAAGTAGATTAGCCAAAATGCTGAGTTGCTGAGGTCTATCACGCAAGCTGCGAAGACTCTGTGGATCCCAAAGTGTGCCAATGTCTGTTGGCATTGGTCGCTGTGATGTTCGGGCAGAAGAAAGCTTATGAAGCTCCTGACCGAACGACCAGGAGGGAGAGAACATGTCAGTCGGGCATGTGTCTCTGCCAGGGTCCTACTCGAGTGTAGGCCAAGCTCCTGACAGTCATAGAATCCTAGAGTTGGAACAGACCCCCAAGGATCATGTAGTCCAGCCCCCTGCAGTCCAGGAATCTCAACCAAAGCATCCATGAGAGATGGCCATCCAACCTCTGCTTAAAAACCTCCAAGGAAGGAGAGTCCACCACCTTCCGAGGGAGTCCATTCCACTGTCAAACAGTTCTTACTGTCAGAAAGCTCTTCCTGATGTTTTGTCAGAATCTCCTTTCTTGTAACTTGAAGCCATTGGACCTGCCCTCCAGAGCCTGAGAAAACAAGCTTGCGCCATCTTCCATGTGACAGCCCTTGATATATTTGAAGATGGCTATCACATCTCCTCTCTGTCTCCTCTTTTCCAGGCTAAACATCCCCAGTTACTTCAAGCACTCCTCATAAGGCTTAGTTTCCAGACCCTTGATCATCTTGGTCGCCCTCCTCTGCACATGTTCCAGCTTGTCAACATCCTTCTTAAATTGTGGTGCACAGAACTGGACACGGTATTCCAGGTGTGGTCTGACTAAGGCAGAATAGAGTGGTACTATTACTTCCCTTGATCTGGACACTATACTTCTGTTGATGCCGCCTAGAATAGTTTTTTTCTGCTGCTGCATCACACTGCTGACTCGTGTTAAGCTTGTGGTCTACCAAGACCGCATTTATTTATATGCAACCCAACTGACTGGGTTGCCCAGCCACTCTGGGCAGCTCCCAACAAACATCAGCCATTAAAAAACATCAGCCATTAAAAAATCCCCTGAGCAGGGCTGTCTTCAGATGACTTCTAAAAGTTGTGTAGTTCTTTATTTTGGCTTCTAGGCCCTTGATCATCTAGCCTGGCACAAGTGCACCTGTGAGCGAGGCAGGATTGAGATAAGAGTCTCCCCTGGAAGATGTCAAAACACGGGCAGGTTTGTATGAGGCAATATGGTATTTCAGCTAGTTTGGACCTAAGCCATATAGGGCTTGATAAGGGAAGCGGGTGGCGCTGTGGTCTAAACCACTGAGCCTCTTGGGCTTGCTGATCGGAATGTCGGTGGTTCGAATCCCCATGACGGGGTGAGCTCCTGTTGCTCTGTCCTAGCTCCTGCCAACTTAGCAGTTCGAAAGCACACCAGTGCAAATAGGTAAATAAGTACCGCTCAGGCGGTAAGGTAAACGGTGTTTCAGTGCACACTGGCACTCGTCACGGTCCTCCGTGCGCCAGTAGCGGTTTAGTCATGCTGGCCACATGACCAGGAAAGCTGTCTGTGGACAAACACTGGCTTCCTCAGCCTGAAAGCAAGATGAGTGCCCATAGTTGCCTTTGACTGGACTTAACCGTCCAGGGGTCCTTTACCTGATACGTCATCATCGGCCCAGAAACAGACTGGTAGCCAGTGGTGCTGTTGCCACAAGGGAGTCTTCTGCTCCCTATAACCAGCAAAGGTCAACAATCTGGCAGCAGCTCTATGAGGAAGCTAAAGTTTCTGAGCGCTTCTCAAAGGCAGCCCCACATTGGGCATGTTGCAATAATGCAAACGGCATGTTAGTAAGGTGCGCATCACTGCGGCCAAATCAGGCATCTCATAATGAAAGTACTTCTGTCAAATATCACTTTCCACAGCCTCCCTTTAATAATTGTGTGTATACATGTCTGCATACACACTCCTTACTCACCAGATGTTCCGTGCCCCTGCGACCATCATCAATATGCCATTAAATGAAATTTCGTAGAGTGTGGCTTTAGCGCCAGCGCTATGGTTCAGCAAGCTTGAACCTATAATGCTTTTTCAACTTTCTGACACTGAAAGTAAAATTAAAAATAAAGAAGACTGTGGTTGACAGGGTGTGCGTTCGAAAGCATTCCAGAGTCAAGTTGACATGATGAATGCCCAGGGTTCAGAGGCCTAAGGACTTGCCGTTTCTTAAGAAGACACACAAAGAGCTTCTTTCCTTTCTTTCCATTTTAAATATTCAACGGGAGGTTACATAAAAGCCATTCCATTTCGTTTGTGCTACTTCAGTCTTAGCTGGGCACAGGGGTGGGGGAAGGAATTAGATTCAGGTTGCATTTAAACATCAACCTGGCTATTTTACCCTTTCGGGAACTTATACGCAAAGTGAAACACAGCTGCCTTTTGAAATTTGCGTTTCTGCAAATTTCGCAGTGCTGTTCCCTGCCCAAGTAATGCAAAAGAAAGTGCATATATTAGGGCAATGTATGTGTATAGATGCATATATTATATTAATGCTAGGGAAATTGTTTTGCAAGTATATGCATATACATATATACTAGGAGGAAATCTCGTGTGCGAATGTCTATATTAGGAGACTACAATGCTGGTGAATTTTCATGGGGACATTTTTAAAAATAAAAAGTAATGCGGAAGTGTGGAGAAATGAACATAAGAGTGGGAAAATGAGAAACTGAAAATGATAGGTTTGACCAGGGCTTTTTTTTTCCAGCTGGCACTCACTGGAACTCAGTTCCTTCACCTCTAAAGTGGGTTCCATTACCATTGTAGGAGTACAAAGGAGGCATTCATAGTGAGTTCTTGTACCTTTTTCTGGAAAAATAGCACTCATTTTTTTCTGCAACTGACTGGATCTGTAGGTGGCATTAGGCTATGAAAATGGATTAAAACTAGTAGAAGGTTGAGAAGGTGATTCAAGAAGAAAATTGAAGTGGTAACATCAGGAATGTAATGGACATATGCTTGCAACGGGAGCGGGAAACATTTTTTTTTTTTGTTGAAAAAGTGTATTAAATTTAAATAATTTGGATGGATTTGTTAAAATTTGGAAAACTCTGTGTGTGTGTGTGTGTGTGTGTGTGTGTGTGTGTCATTCAGCAATTGGTACAATTAGTACAAGGACTTCTGCTTGCACAATGGATTCCCTGTGGCTGGGAATCACAGGTTGGAAGAGTGTTGTGTTCAGGTACTACCTGAAGACTTCCCAGAGGCACCCAGTTGGCCACTGTGAGAACAGGATACTTGGTTATGCAGAAAGAGCCTCCTTGCCCTCTTTTTAATCATTGCCTTCCAAAAAAAAAAGCCCATCCCAATTATTGTAATCTGCTCAACACTGGATGATTTGAAAAGCATGTTGGGAATTGGCCAATAATAGTATTCTCAATGCAAAATTTATTCCCTATTTTTAGGTCGTCTCAACAGAACAGGAGGGTGGTTGTAATTCTATATGGCTGTGCTTCTGTCCTTGGCAATTGGACACTTTCAAGAAGTACTTTCGGGATTTGCTTAGAATTTGACTTCCTCATTTGGAGAGAGGGAGAGAGAGAGAGGAGAGGGAGGGAGGAAACACTTCACTTTATTAAAAATGACACCTTGGGGATGCACAGAAGGCCCTGCGCTGGCGTCCATGTCATGTTTCCTCAGTTTACTTCCTGTCAAAATGCATTCTTTTCCCATTTGCTCTCAGCCCTGCAGGGTCAAGGCAGCTAATGAAAATCAAGCTGTCTTTTTTATGTGTGTGCGCTTGCGTGCCTTTCAAGAACGGTCAGATAACAAAATGCGGTCCCCGATCCTGGCATGTTTATTGTTAGCGATGATGTAGAAATTGATAGCAGACAGATTCGTTTTCTTCAAGACAACTTGACCCTTCGGAGAGAACTGGAGGGCAAAAACTTTTAGGTTTTGACTAGTCAGGGAGCAGTTCCATAAACAGAACATGACACCAGATGTCAGAGTGCATAAGACGGCAATGCTAGCTTAAGTAATATGGAGGGAACAGGAGGGGATGGTTGTTGTTTTTAATGCTTTAATTAACCTTTTGAATATGCTGTGAGATTTATTTCAATAAAAAAAATAAGTGATGCTTCATAGCATTCTGAGGCAAACACAGGGTTGGATAGGAGACCAGTCTCTCTCTCTCTCTCTCTCTCTCTCTCTCTCTCTCTCTCTCTCATCTATCTTAAATTAATCAATCACTTGCCTTCAACATATGGAAATCTTTATGGAATCTAGCACTAAAATTAAAGGGAAAAAACATTTTTAAACAAGTCACATTTCACCACAGCTATACATTAAAGGGTCACGACTTATGCTGCTCCTGAAAATTCAGAAAAATGGAAAATGATTGTCCTGTAGTCAGCCAATATAAAAACAATATAGGTAAGCAGCTGCTAAAAGCATTTTTGTTTAGGCAAGTTTAGTCAGCTATGTAAAGCTGGCATATATTACAATATGTAATTTTGTTTTGCGCTGTATATTTTTAACTGCTGATTTGATTTATATTTTGCATTCTGGGCGGGTCGACGTGTTTTCAACTTCTTTTTCAAAAAATAAATATTTTATTAAAGCTTTTAAAAAATACAATAAAAGAAGCGAATATAAAGAATAACAAAAACAGAAGGAGAGAGTGAAAGGAAAATGCAGAGACCTCTCTCACACCTCTCTCTCTCTTAACTCTTATCCTCACACAGAAAGGGGTGGAGCCTCCCAGCTTTCACCTGGGAGCTTTCCTTTCTTCTCCCATTCTCTCACCCTGAGGGGGTCTTCCCTGCCCTGCCTCTTGTCCTTCACCAGCTACCCATCAACTTCATGTGTGTGTGAACCTTGGACCCCCAAAACAGCCCAGAGCAGAAGATACCAAAGAAAAGAAAGAAAGAAAGAAAGAAAGAAAGAAAGAAAGAAAGAAAGAAAGAAAGAAAGAAAGAAAATATAATAATAATAATAATAATAATAATACTAATACCCCGCCCATCAGGCTGGGTTTCCCGAGCCACTCTGGGCGGCTTCCAACAAAACACTAAAATACAATAACCTATTAAACATTAAAAGCTTCCCTAAACAGGGCTGCCTTCAGATGTCTTCTAAAAGTTTGGTAGTTATTTTTCTCTTTGACATCTGGTAGGAGGGCATTCCACACGGCAGGTGCCACTACCGAGAAGGCCCTCTGCCTGGTTCCCTGTAACTTGGCTTCTCGCAGCGAGGGAACCGCCAGAAGGCCCTCAGAACTCTGGGCAGAACGATGGAGGTGGAGACGCTCCTTCAGGTATACTAGACTGAGGCCGTTTAGGGCTTTAAAGGTCAGCACCAACACTTTGAATTGTGCTCGGAAACGTACTGGGAGCCAATGTAGGTCTTTCAAGCCCGGTGCTATGTAGTGTCGGCGGCCACTCCCAGTCACCAGTCTAACTGCTGCATTCTGGATTAGTTGTAGTTTCTGGGTCACCTTCAAAGGTAGCCCCACATAGAGCGCACTGCAGTAGTCCAAGAGAGAGATCACCAGAGCTTGCACCACTCTGGCGAGACAGTCTGTGGGCAGGTAGGGTCTCAGCCTGCATACCAGATGGAGCTGATAAACAGCTGCCCTGGACACAGAATTGACCTGCACCTCCATGGACAGCTGTGAGTCCAGAATGACTCCCAGGCTGTGCACCTG